CGCTATTTCCCTGCAATGTGGGCAGTGAATCCCAAGTTATTTACCACCCGTACTTTCTTCAGTATCCCCCAAGCAGCCTGTGTGACCACTAAAGGAAGAGACTGCGTTTCTGTGCTGACCATGCACCGTGTGCTATGTGGTGGCCAGGACAGAGTCCTTGTCTTCCTGGAGCTATGCCTCTGGCTCAGACCTTCTCACTGAGAGTGTAGAGGACTTCATTTACTTTCTCAGATTTACTAATTTGATTGTGTTTTCCTGGCAGCTCTCTTGGTACAGTACTGAATATCTTTATTTCATTGGTCACGTCTTCTATAATCCAGTCTCAGGTCTGTTTTTATACACTCAATAATTTATGAGATATTATAGGGAGCACTCCAAGCATCTGTAGATCATTCATGTCCCCTGGCAATGACTGATGTCGCTCAGCCCAGGCCCCTCAGGTTGTTCCTCAGGATATGCTTGTCTGGAGCCATCTAACATACGTCCCCTCTGTCCCCAGTGGGCAGGGGTTTGATGGCTTGCAGTGCACCAACTTTCCCCTATAGGCAGCAAGTGTGTACCTAGGAGTAACCTATAAAGTTAGGAACCACCTCTAAGTTATCACGCAGGTCTCCTACAGCAGCGGTCGCCCACCTTTCGGACCTCATGGACCACCAGTGGTCCGTGGACCACCAGTTGGCGACCGCTGGTCCAAAGGTTTTCTTAAACCAGCAGTTGCCAACCTTTCGGACCTCGCAGACCACTGGTTGGTGACGGCTGTCCTACAGTGTTACCTGTGTCCCATCCCTTTCCCCACTGTAGAAGATGACCACTACTATAAATTTTATACTTCCCACATTTTACATCCTCCTCCCTTAAATATGTTGGGTTTTATAGGGTGCCCTGGGGTTCTGTGACTATCTCAGCTCATCTGATTTTACAGTCCTGACATTGCATTCCTGCAGTTCAGCCATTTTTACTAACTTTACAATGTTCTGTTGCATGGTGGTGGGGGGGGGGGGGGGGGGGTACAAATATATATATATATTGTAATATGTGCCATACCGCTTTCCAAAAAGTTTGCACTCACACCAGTGGTGGACTGGTCCCTCAGTCCATCACTGGACACTCTCCCAAAATGATACAGTGATAGTGCCTGGAAGGCTGGCAAGGGAGGACACAGTGTGACCTGCATGCATTTGTATCAGGCTCCGAGGAGCAGGTGAGTGTGCAGAGCCTAACAGTATGGGCAGGTTTAGGGGTCGCTCTGTGTGTGTGTGTGTGTGTGTGTGTTTCACTCTGGGGAGAATGTAAAGAAGAGAAGGCACAGACTAGAAGTGGCAGAGTTGTGTCATTGGGAGGTGGGAGGAGGAGACAGGGCAATTGTAGTCAAGGGAAGAGTTTTTAAATGTATTTTTAATTGATTTCAGAGAAAGGAAGAAGAGAGACATTGATGGGAGAAACATCGCTGAGCTGCTTCCTGCATGCCCTGTACTGGGATGGAGCTGGAAGCCCAGGCATGGACCTGGACTCACCCTCCTGGTGATGGGACGATGCTCAGCCAACTGAGCCTCACTGGCTGGGCTCAAGGGAACATTTTGAAGGAGTTAAGAGATTTATGGTTCAACAGAACAGACTTAGACTGGAGATTTTGCAGTTGACTGAGTGAAAAATTGGGAGTTACCAAGTTTTAAGTAGAGGAAAAATATGCTGATAATAGTTTTTAAGGAAACTGGTGGATGGCTGAGCTTAAAGAAAGCCTGGAAGTTCAGAGGCTGGTTAGGGTGAGCCAGCCGGGAAGGAAGGGGAGATGGAAGAGACAAGTGGAAAGAAACTTGAGCCTCTGAACTTCATGTTTTCATAAATATAAAATGTGATTGTTTATTTTAAATTATGGCTATGAAGATAGAATGAAATAATAAATGGGAAAGGTCCAACTTAACGAATGAAAAAGCAACAGGCCCAGCCAGTGTGGCTCAGTGGTTAAGTGTCCACCCATGAACCAGGTTGCGGTTTGATGCCTGGTCAGGGCACATGCCCCAGGCTCGCTCCTCAGAGGGTGTGTAGAAGGCAGCTGATCTGTGATTCTCATCATTGATGTTTCTCTCTCTCTCTCCCTCTCTTTGAAATCAATAAAAATCTATTCTTTTTTTTAAAAAAAAAGCACCAGGAAGGCACTCAAATATTAGTTGAATTAAATTTTGATGATTCTGCACCCCTAAACCTGCCCGTTTTGAGGACTGATTCTGGTTCAAGAGGATTAGGCCTGAGAGTGAAGGCAGTGGTTCTCTGGGTGGTGAGGAAACTAGCAATCGGTTCTTTGTTATATTAAGGTTGATTATTTCAGCTCTTCCCACTGAAAAAAGATAGAACATATCCCTGGTCCTCAGAAATTAAGTCTAGTTGGAGAGCTTCCCAATTAATGGCAGCGATGGGCTATCTATACATGGGCTCAGTCCCGCAGTCCTGATTTTTCAGTACTAAAATAGAATAAGCTCATTACAAGGCAAACCCACGTTTAATGTTTTATGTAAGTGCTAAATATCAATCTTTTTGGAGACAGTTCTAAAAACATTAAAGCACCGTGTAAAATAAATTTTTATTTTTTTTTAACAGGTAGCATCTAGCACTCATGAGCATCATTCATTTGAGCTTGGAAGACACCTCTTTTCCATTCTCCATACTGACCACAAAACCATCCCAAGGTTCAGGCAGTGAAACCAGATGGAGGCAAGCCAAGATTTTGATAGTTCAGCCCCATAACCTTCCTATCCTTTTACCTCAAGAAAAAATGCTGACTTCCTCCACCCTGTCCACCTCCAAAAGGACCCATTTATTTTTAGAGACAGGAGCTGAGGTGGGGGAAGCAGCCAGAGAGGGGGTGCTCTGACTTCAAACCCGTCATCGCTGCACTCCAGACCTTCCTTCTCTGGGGTGGGAGTTGGGGGGCAGCTGTTAGAGAAGGAAGGGCGCTTGGTTCCCACGAGAATAGGCAGGTCTGAGCCCAGGCAGCACCCTCGACCCTCACATGACCGTCCTTTCTCAGCACATTGGATTCTTAAGGTCGACCTCACATCAGGTCTTGTGAAAAACGTGAGCCCTCTCTAGACACAGTGCCCGAACTCTGTGCAAATGTCTGTCCATCTTGGAAGCACAGCGGCTTTAGGCTTCCTTCCTCTCTCCTGCTCTGGGAAGAGGCACATTACAGTGGGGGCATCAAAGACCCTTCCTGCAGCCACAACTCTTCTGCAGCGACTGCAGGCCTCAGTCACCAGCACTCTTAATCTGGAGATCTTGTTTTGCTACTGAAATCTAGGGGCAGGGGTGGAGCGAGGTGCCCCGCCTGGGTTGTTGTTCATCGTGTTTCTTTTTTCCTCTTAACAGCTCCAACTTCCTCTTCATCCTCAGCCAGCCTCGCGCCAAAAGAAATTGCTAATTGGGAAGCAGCGCCACCTCGTGGGGGACAAGGACAGTGCACGCAAGCCGATGCTATTTCCCACTGACCTAATTTAGAGAAAATTGAGCGTAGGACAGAAAACATTTGCGATTGTAATCCTGTGCCCAGAGCTTTCAAGAGTGCAGGCAGATGGCCATAAAGGCCATCTGAGCAGTCTCCTCTTTGAGCCATTGCGATCTAAGTTTGTTATAAACATCTTAAACGCATCAGTGGTACTTTGCACTTTTTCTCTGTGGTCATTGGTTAGCACAACTGTGAAGGGTACTGGGTCTTCCTTCTCCCTATTGTACAGAGTAGGAATTCAGGGTGCAGAGGGGAAAAGTGCCACAGACATGCCAGTGATGAAAGCCAGGCCCCAACCGTAGGCTAATGCTTACCTCCCCCACTGCTTCCTGCCCCCAAGCACTTCTCAGCAGAATGGAGGACAATGACTTTTTAAAACCATATAAAGCAATAGGGACTGATGATCTTAACAACCATGTGGCCCCTGGATTCCTGAGACAGGACTGGGCTAGGTCCTCAGTCAGAACGTCCCTTTTCTGTGTCTCTGTTGAAGGGTTTGGCGACGTGGGGGGAAGGAACCTTCCCAGAGGTGGGAACCTCAGGGCTCTTAGAACCAGACTTTAAGCATGTGCCTGTCTCAGATAAATTCAAGGAGCAGCTGCTCTCACCTACTTGCAAGGTTATAAAGATACACGCATGCATACCCCCTGCTGGGACACCGAGTTTTGCTGTGCACAGGTTTTTATTACCCCCGGGTGTCTTGATAAATTGAGCCTTAAGTGAATATTTCATTAGTTTTAAGACTTCGGAAAGTAAGAAATAAAGTAGTAGGGCAAGCAGAACAGACACATAACTGCAATGTTTAAAGCTCTGACATCTGCCTAAAGATTGTCCCTCTACCAGCCACCACTACACGTAACACTCCAAAGGCCAAGAATGACAGCCTTTGCCTTTAGGCAGGATCAGTGGTAGTCACACCCACACTAAAATGAATGCCAAGAATGCTGCCAGGTTGCCAGGAGTTACTTGGTGCGAATTCTTGCTCGGGTATCAGGGTTGGGTCATGTTTGCAACATGGTAACTCAGTTGCACATTGGACGCTGTCATCAAATGAGTTTGCGCAGGAAGTGGCATCGATCAGGGCTCTGTTCTCAGCACCTACCCACTGTACACACGACCTTTCTCAGACTTCCTACAGAACGGGGACACCATTCATTTTGTAGGTTAGTGATGGCTTAGATTTGGCAAAATACATACTCGATGTTGAGCGCATAGCACGTGCCCAATAAATTCTTATGGAAGCAAACACCTTAATGCCCTGTAGAGGCCAGACACTATTAGCTCCTTTTAGCCTCACAACAGCCCGAGGAGGTCTGTACGCTGCCCTATGTTACTGTGGAGGAAGTAAGTGTTCAAGGACGCAGAGCAATTAAGGGACAGGGCTGGGATCGGAACCCAAAGCTCTTAACCACGGGGGGACTCCGCTTCTGCTTTGTGTCCATGTTAGTGCTCATGTCACAGGAGCTTCCAGGCATGTGAGTGTGATGGCACAGGCCCTGCACAGGGATCAGGCAAGCAGCACTCCCAGGCAGGCTCTGCCTTACCCTGTCATCGTGAGCAACTGGCCTTCCTCGACCTTTCTCCTTCTTGTCCGAAAGCTGAGTGTTTGGTCAGGAAAAGGTGGTAGAAGTTGAACTCAACGGTCTTAAAATTTGGTGGATAGAAGCTTTTCACTTTAAATGATTTTTCAAGGTTTTCTAATTCTTGACCTTTACACTTATTTTAGGTTTAATTGATTTGAAGTCCTTACCGGGTGTGGTCAGGAACACAGAAGCTGAAGAGAGGTGAGAATGTTCCAGGCCCTGGGACAAGCCAGGAGGGAAGGCCTCAGGTTGGTCTAAACGTCACTAGATGGCAGCATAAGCAGCGTTCCAGCAAACTGCCTCCTTAGCCTCGATCCTAAAGTTTCTAGGTTCTTCTCTACTTGTGTTGGTCAAGTTGTCATTGGTGGACCTTTCAGTCAAAGCATGAAGCTCCTGGACAGTCTTGTGCTGAAGGACGGGGTGAGGCGTAGCCCACAGAGGGGCCACATAGGGTCAGCAAACCACGACCACAGCTAAGAATGGTTTTTACATTTTTAAATGGCTGAAAAAGAAACAAAGGACTGATTTTTCATGACATGGGACAATTAGGTGAAGTTCAAATTTCAGTGTCTACCGATGAAGCTCATTGGGCCCCAGCCACTCCTGCAAGTGTCTGTATAGTTCTGGCTGGTACTTCCTGCAGCGGCGAAGTTGAGCAGTTACAACAGAGGCCATAGCCCTCAAGCCTGAACCATGCCCTGTCTGTCTTGCTGTGGGAAAAGCTGGCCGGCCCCTGATGGATATCACCCTGATCCAACCAGAGATGCCCCTGCCAGTCTCTCAGGTCCTAACGCTCTGAGTGCAGGAATTTGCACTCTCCTTGGTGCTGTGTCCTTAGCTCAGTGAACTAGCACCTGGTGGGGGTAGTGCGGGGCACCTCTAGCTGTCACAGTGTGGTGACCAGTACTGGGATCACGGTGAGGACGGAGGTGAGCTCTGCCTGTGGAGACCTGGGGGAGGATCCTCAAAGAAGTGATAGTCCTTAGGGAACAGGTGAGAGCGCGCGAAGGAAACAGCATCATCAAAGAAGCATTTCAGAAAAAGCACCGCTAGGGAACGTGCAGAGTAGGGAGCAAGGCCAGGTTGTGAAGAGATGGCCGGGGGTGAGGACAGGGCAGTGAAAACCCTTCCATATTAACCTGGGAGGGAGGCAGGAGAAATAGGTTTGAAAGAGAAAAGTGGGAGGTCCTTTGCTTGTGCTGAACTTGTGGAGCTCGAGTGACGTCAGTCGTCCAGTGTTTGTCTCCAGGCGTGGCTTCGCGCTCCTGCAGCAGGTGCACCTGAAGGACTAAATTAAGAGCACAGATGCCTCGGCTCTCCCTCCACCAACGCAGACTACAGAAGGGAAGTTCCCAAATTTTTGTTGGTGGGAAGGGCAAAGCAGAGCCCTCTAAGGAGGCTGAGCATGAGAATTCTGAGATACTGGAGAAGATAAACAATATGCCCTGAAGGCCCCCCAAAAAAGCGTCAAGAATAGAGTGGTCACAATTGCCATGTGCAGCAGAGAGAAGGAATCGTGGATGACAATCTAGTCACCGGTGACGCTAAGATGGCCCTGACTAGGGGGCATGGAGAGCAGGGGAGGGGCCTGGGATCAGGGTGGAGGAAGAGGCCCAGATAGACAGAAGGATGTGGAAATGGAGGTGGTGCTGCAGGCAGGGTATAAAGGGATGGGACGAGGAGAGTGAACCGATGCCTCTCCTTTCTGGGTGCCAGGCACTGGGCGGAGCCCCAGCATCCCCGAGGTGCGGCCCATCGGACAGCACCGGGGGAGGGTCCTTCTAACGAAGCAGGACCCTAGGTTGCAGGGTGGAGGTCTGAGGCCCCACAAAGATTTGTGCTGTTTCCCCGCCCTGGCTCATCAAGTGTCCTCTGGGGGGCGTCCTTTCCTCCTCTCTTGTCACTGTCCCAACTAGCTCTGTTATGTCACTGATACAGGCCTGCCTGCTGTGTCCACTGTCGGAAGTCAGGCCACAGCGGCTCCGGCCAGGGCCCGGGGTGCTGCAGCCTCCCCCTCCCTCTCTCCCAGCCTTCACTTTCCTGGCTCTCGGTTCTGCCCCTGGCTTCCAGGGCACGGTTCCAGGTTAAGTCCCAGGAGACCCAAACCTTGCCCACAAGTCACTAGTCACTCCCAGCAGTCAAACGAGCTGAGGACAGCAGAGCGGCCGGGCCACCAGAAGAGCTGTCTTCGTGCAGCGACGGTGGGACAGCACTGAACTTGGTGCAGGAGCAGCTGCTGATGGAAACTGCCCCCAGGACAGCACGATGAGGATTTATAGGAACACATGTGACAAGGCGAGTGGCTGACTTTGCCCTGCAGTACGTTGTTGAGGTGAGCAGAGGGAGGGCGGTTTGCTACACACACAGGCACCGATTCCATTTCGAGGGCAGCGTTTAAAACACTAGGACACGTATTTCAGAAGAACCTATTTACTACCAAAGAAGTGTTATTATCATTTGGCTCTGTGGTTTTTGTTTTGTTAATCCTCACCCGAGGATATTTTTCCATTGATTTTTAGAGAGAGTGGAAGGGAGGGGGAGAGACACAGAGAAAGAGGAACATCGATGTGAGAGAGACACATCGATTGGTTGCCTCCTGCATGTGCCTGCGACCAAGATACGTGCCCTTTAGAATCCAACCCAGGACCCTTTAGTCCGTGGGCTGATGCTCTATCCACTGAGCCAAACTGGCTATGGCTCAACTCTATAAGAGGTCCCTGGACAACCTTTTAACCTCAGCCTAGTTACTAATTTTTTAAAAACAGGATAATATAGTGGTTATCAGCATATTTGATCTCCAAAGTGGCTGCTTGAGCTGAGACCTCTGAGTGCAGCCCCTCACCTATAAGTAAAGGTGACAGGAGTGCCCGCCTGGTCGGCTGTGTGAGGGTTAATACACTCACAAGTGGTGCCCAGCATTCAGGGAGCACTAACACATTGTTCTCTTTCCTTTAAACATGTCTTCTTATTCATAGCCGGCCTTCCTATCTCAGAGCCTGTTCAGAGGAACGCCTCCCTTCTTTGTGTTAAACGGTGCTTTGTTCTTTTGTTTGTGTTAGCTATTTTTATTTTACATAATCACCCTTTATATGAACTTTATATCTTTCTTTCCATAATTGATGAGCTCATATTGGTACTTTATTGCTAAAGCCCATAGTTTACATTAACATTCACTGTCGGTGTTGTGCATCCTATGGGTTTGACAGATGTATAATGACATGTGTCCATCATTACGGTATCGTACAGGGTAGTTGCATTGCCCTGAATACCCTCTGTGCTCTGCCTAGTCCTTCCTCCTCCCTCCCAACCCCTGGCGACCACTGATCACTCACTCCATAGGTTTGCCTTTTCCAGAATGTCATACAGTTGGAACCAGACAGTATGTAGCCTTTTCAGACTGGCTTCTTTCACCTCCAAAGTGGCTGCTTGAGCTGAGACCTCTGAGTGCAGCCCCTCACCTATAAGTAAAGGTGACAGGAGTGCCCGCCTGGTCGGCTGTGTGAGGGTTAATACACTCACAAGTGGTGCCCAGCATTCAGGGAGCACTAACACATTGTTCTCTTTCCTTTAAACATGTCTTCTTATTCATAGCCGGCCTTCCTATCTCAGAGCCTGTTCAGAGGAACGCCTCCCTTCTTTGTGTTAAACGGTGCTTTGTTCTTTTGTTTGTGTTAGCTATTTTTATTTTACATAATCACCCTTTATATGAACTTTATATCTTTCTTTCCATAATTGATGAGCTCATATTGGTACTTTATTGCTAAAGCCCATAGTTTACATTAACATTCACTGTCGGTGTTGTGCATCCTATGGGTTTGACAGATGTATAATGACATGTGTCCATCATTACGGTATCGTACAGGGTAGTTGCATTGCCCTGAATACCCTCTGTGCTCTGCCTAGTCCTTCCTCCTCCCTCCCAACCCCTGGCGACCACTGATCACTCACTCCATAGGTTTGCCTTTTCCAGAATGTCATACAGTTGGAACCAGACAGTATGTAGCCTTTTCAGACTGGCTTCTTTCACTTAGTAATATGCATTTAAGGTTCCTCCATGTCTTTTCCTGGCCTGATAGCTCATTTCTTTCTATTTTTTTTTCTTTTCTGAATATTCCATTGTCTGGATGCCCCACTGTTTAATTATTCATCAGCTACTAAAAGACATCTGGGCTGTTTCCAGGTTTTGGCAGTTATGAATAAAGTTGCTCTAAGTACCTGCATACAGGTTTATGCGTGGATATAACTTTTCAACCCATTTGGGTGAATACCAAAAAGCACAATTGCTGGATCATGGGGTAAAAGTACTAGTATGTTTAGTTTCGCAGAAACTGCCAAACTGTCTTCCTAAGTGGCCGTCCCCTTTTGCATTCTCAGCAGCAGTGCATGAGAGAGTTCCTGTTGCTCCACATCCTCAAGGGCATTTGGTTTTGTTGCCGTTTTGGATTTTAGTCTTTCTGGTGAGTATGTGATGGTATCTCATTCGTGTGTGAATTTGCAATTCCCTAATGACATGATGTGGAGCAGCTTTTCGGTGAGGTGTCTGTTCATATCTTGTGCTGATTTAAATTTTTTTTTTTTGTCGAGTTTTAACAGTTCTTTGTATATTTTGGATACCAATCCTCTGTCAGATATGTGCTTTGCAAATATTTTCTCCTTGTCTTTCCATTCTTTTAATGCTTTGTCCTTTATATTATCATGAAATGGAAATGTGGGCACACTATGGGACCGAAGCCAGTCAGATGGTTTCAACTCTGTCTTTATCCTTTTTCTTTTCTGTCTTTATTCTCATGCAACTCCCAGCTTCTCCAGTGGTTCTTCCTTGTGCGTTCAGAATGGGCCAGAAGGGGATTCCCTAGTGGTTGCCACATCCTCAACCCAGAACTAGTGCTGTCCGCCTGGCTGTGGGGGTGGACCCTGGGGATGTCCAAGTCCCTCCCTGTGGGAACAACAGGCACTCTCAGGGGGCTGGGCCGCTGCTGACCCCTCCTATTGCTTGCCCAGAGGTCAGAAACTGTGGGCCCACAGTGCCATAACTCATAACTTCTTCCTAGGATGCAGGGACTGAGTCCCTCCCCCGGGTGTTTATAGACATGCGGAGTAAAGAAGTGAGTGGTTTCTAATTCAGGCCTCAAGCAGAGTTGCAGGTGTTGCCTGTGGCTCTTGGGCAGATGTGCCTCCTGGAACACACACAGCCCTTGGCAGGGCGTGAGGGAACAAAAGACAATAGCCAGACGATTAATCCTGTCTGCTTCCCACAGGATGGAAAAGCATCACCTGGCCGTGGAGGGGAAGTTCAGCTCCACGGAGGGGCTTTTCCTGCGGGTCCCCAGACTGGTCCTCCCACCCCACCCTCTCCTGATGAATCGATGCGACGTCCTAAGGCTTCAGAATAGCTACATATCTTCTCTGGAGTTAGCGTGAAAATGTGCACATTTCTGGCTATATTGAAACACATGGCAGGGAGGAAGCAAACTGCCCTGGAGTGCCTATGACCCCAAAGAGAAGAAACCGTTGTGCCAGGCTGGTTCTGATCCCAGTTTCCGCTTACATCAGACTATACCTAATAGAAAGGGGAGGTGTGTTCACTCTGGAAAAGGCGGTCATAATTCTCGGTGGAAACAGTTGGAAAAGGCCCTGCAAGTCCAGCGACAGCGGAGGAGCGCAGGGGTTCTCAGCACTTCGCTGCCGTCGAAGGACCCTCGGGGAGCCCGTGAAATGCAAGCTCCAGGCCCCGCTGCACAGAATGCCTGGGGCCTGAGAAGGGGCATTTCACAAACACCCAGGACTTTTGGAAGCATGTTGATTTGGACAAACTGCAGCAGCCTAAAAATTTGGATTTAGATCTTGACTGTTGCCCAGCAGCCGTGTAACTTTGGACAGATACTTAAATGCCTTAATTCTCATCTGTGAAATGGGACCAATAATAATGGGTTGCAGAGATGCTGCCCTGTGCCTACCCAACCACCAAACGTACTGAAGCGAGAGTTTGAAACACGCGAGAGCTGCTCTGAAGATGGGAAGAGGGGTTTCAGAAAGTATAGGAAGTCTTGCTTCTCTGCTGCTTGTTTGTTTCACTCGAAATAGTAATAACAATTAGCTTTTATGGAGTCCTAATGTACCAGGCATTATCCTAAGCACTTCCATGTATTTAATGCTCAAACAAGCCTATGAAATAGCCAAGGAAAGATTTAGCAACTTATGGTCACAGCTAGAAACTTGCCAAGTCAGGATTTGAAGTCGGGACCTCAGAGCCTGGAGTTCTCCCATCTCCTGGGGTCCCCAGCCCTTAAAAACCTGATAATAAACTGAGAGAGAAAAATTGAAGCAACCACGTGGGGGGAAAAAGTCTTTGTGACTGGCTTAGGCAAAGGTTTCTTTTTTTTTTTTTTTTTTTTAATATATTTTATTGATTTTTTACAGAGAGGAAGGGAGAGAGATAGACAGTCAGAAACATCGATGGGAGAGAAACATCGATCAGCTGCCTCCTGCACATCTCACACTGGGGATGTGCCCGCAACCCAGGTACATGCCCTTGACCGGAATCGAACCTGGGACCCTTCAGTCCGCAGGCCGACGCTCTATCCACTGAGCCAAACCGGTCTCGGCAGGCAAAGGTTTCTTAGATACAACTCTGAAAACATGATTCTCAAGAGAACAGATTAATAAATCAGACTTCATCAGAGTTAAAACTCTGCTCTTTGAAAAACATGGTTATAAAACAAAAGGCCAAGCAATCAACTTGGAGGAAACATTTGCACATTGTGTATTTAATAAGGGACTTGTATCTGGAATATATAAAGAACCTTCAAAACTCAACATAAGCCCGGCCAGCGTGGCTCAGTGGTTGACGTCCACCTATGAACCAGGAGGTCACGGTTTGATTCCCGATCAGGGCACATGCCAAGGTTGTGAACTTGATCCCCAGGGTGGGGTGTGCTGGAGATAGCCAATCGATGTTTCTCTCATCACTGATGTTTTTACCTCTCTCTCCCTCTCCCTTCCTCTCTGAAATAAATAAAAACATACTTTAAAAAACTCAAAATAAGAAAACAACATCATAAAAAATGGCCCAAAGATCTGAACATGTCACCAAAGAAGAAATATTAATGTCAAATAAGCCCATGAAAAGTTGCTCAACCTCATATGACATCAGGGAAATGCAAATTAAAACTGCAGTGAGGTGCATGCACACCCATTAGAGTGACTACAATAAAAAAGACTGACCACACCAGGTGTGTTGACAAGGATGGGAGGAACAGGCAGGAATGTAAAACAGTGCAACAATTTTGGAAAAGTGTGCCAATTTCTTAACAAGTTAAACATATGCCTCCATGATCCAAACATTTTACTTTCAGGAATTTACCCAAGAGAAATGAAAAGTGTGTGTTGATACAAAAATTTGTGCGGGAATGTTCATTGAAGCTTTATTTATTTGTTCATAGCCAGAAGTGGAAACAACCAAAATTTTCATCAACAGGTGAAACTGCGGTATCTATAAACAATGGGTCATATTTCTATATTTTTTATTAAAAAATATTTTTATTGATTTCAGAGAGGAAGGGAAAGGGAGAGAGAGATGGAAGCATCCATGATGAGAGAGAATCATTGATGGGCTGTCTCCTGCACACCCCACACTGAGGTCTGAGCCCGCAATCTGAGCATATGCGCTGACCCGGAATCAAACCATGACCTCCTGGTTCATAGGTCGACACCCAACCACTGAGCCACACCGGCCCAGCTATTTTTTAATTTTTTAAAACACTACCATCCTGTCTTCCCTAGCGGCTGCACCATTTTGCATTCCCATCAGCAGTGCACAAGGGCTCTGATGTCTCCACACCCTTGGCAACAGCTGCTATCAGCTGGTTTTTGGATAAGACCATCCTAATGGATATGAAGTGGTATTTCAATGTAGCTTTGATTTGTATTTCCCTAATGACTAATGATGTTGAGAGCTTTCTTTTATGTGCTTTTTGGCCATTTGTACATCTTTGGAGAAATGTCTATTCAAGTCCTGTACCCAATTTTTAATCAGCTTGTTGGGTTTTGTTGTTCCTGCTATTGATTTCTGAGCGCATATTACTTTTAAAATCACAAAAGAATTTTATTTTATGAGGAAAGGGGGACAGAGCATACAGAAAGTCAACCAAGAGAGGAGTAATGGTTAAAAGCTTGGGCTCTGAAATTAATTAGCACATTCAATCACCATAATTATGGAGCACCTACTGTATATGCCAGGATAGGCTACCTAACACACAGCCCTGGAAGCTCAGTGACCTAATCCGATTGGAGAATTGCCAATGTGGTCTGAGGTGGAGGTGGAGAAAAGGCAGGAGTTAGGAAGGGCAGTATGGCTCTGTGTCATGTAGTCACTCGGGGAACCTAGGTTGCATCCCGCCTGTGACACTGACATCCTCGATGTGTGGCCTCCAAAGTCACCATGGGCGGGGATAAAAGGGAGGGTTACACAAGGGTGACTTTTTATGGACCAGTCTTTGCCTATCTTACATCAAGCTAAACTTGTAACACAGCCCCGCCCTCTACAGAGGAGACTGGGAAGCGTCCTCTTCCTGTGTGCCCAGAAGAAGGGAAATTGCACTGTGTCTGTCACAGTACACCCCATTGGTCGCCAAACCATCTCATTCTTCTTCCCACACACAGACACATCCATCCCCTTCCCTCGGGAGACAACCCAAAGTGGCATCCAGATCACGCACTCGTCTCCCTCAAGAGTGGGTAGCGATGCTGTGTTCTGATGACTAAGTTGTCTGCCCCCTACCCAACACCGAATGTACAGCGGTGAAGTGGAAATAGCAACATTCCCATTGAAATAAGGGCAGGCGCAGGAGCCTGGCTGTGGAAGTGACAGCTCCTCCCTCCCCTTGAGGCCGGCTCCGTGAGGGTTCCCTGCCCTGTCCATTTTCCTCCATGGCTCCAGGCTTTGTCCTTCTTTTTCACTATTTTCCCTGACTTCACCTGGAATGTTCCTTGGCACTATCCGTTTCTTGGAACTTTCTTCTCACTCATGGAACCCAAAGGGTTGGTTTAAGTCTGCCACAGTCAAAGATGTTTTAGGATGACTTCATGATTTCTGTGGCAGTAATTATCTCAGAAAGTAGGGAGGTCGAGTGAAATAGAGAAAACCTGGGCCTGGGAGGTTTGCGATGCCTGCTAGAAATCTAGTTGGATGTAGGAACCTGGCACTCAGGGAGTCATGCAGGCTCGTGGGAGTCACTGGGGAGGCATCCGCATGTAGCTGGCATTTGTCAGGAGGCTCTCACATGTAGACAGAGAGGAGAATAGGTCCAAAGACTGCGCCCTGGGTCACTCCAGAGGCCAGAGATGCACCTGCCAGGAGACAAGAAGGAAGGGCTTCGGCGGCAGGTCGAAATCCAGAGGAGTGGGATGTCTAGGAAGACAGACACAGAACATGTCTGGAGATGGAGGGGTTTGCTCCATGAACTCAATGGTGCTGATAAGTCAGTAAGACAAGAACTGAGGACTGACACCTGAGCAAGGTCATTCTGACTTTGGCAAGAGCAGTTTCCATGGAGTCGTGGAGCAAAAGTCCAATTGAGAGCTTTCCATCGACAGGAGAGGAGGGAGGTGAGTGAACATCACCGTGGACCGAAGAGTCTCACTGGGAAGGGGAGCAGACATAGGTCCAGTGCACAGGTCAGTGCTCGCCCAGAGCACCCTGAGACAGGCAGGGCTGCGGCTGAAGACACAGGGGGACGAGAGGGCCGAGCTGAGGGAAGTGAAACTAGAGCTGGCTCTGCAGCTGAGATGAGGCTAAGGAGGCATTGTGGAGGGCTGGGGAGAGGGGAAATGAATGCAGTCGTGATCTGGGCAAATGGGCAAGTGTAGGGACCAGGGGAAGGTGTGATCACTGGGCAGCAGGAAGGGCCACTTGATGTGCGTGGTCATGCATTGAAGGAGAGACCACCCATCGTGGTTGTGTGTCTTTCTTCAGCCAAGCACAGCCGGTGCGCATTGGCTAGAGCAGGCAGGGAACTGATGGGACCAAGGTTGGAGTTTTTGCCACCTTTGTCTCCCCTGGTTCTCAGGTCTTCAGGGTTGAGCTGGAACAACACTGCCTGCTTTCCTGGGCCTCCAGGTGGCAGGTCATGGGACTCCTCAGACTCCATAATTGCATGAGCCAATACTATCTAATAATAGACAAACAGGGTAATTGACCGTACCTTCGCTACGCCTCCCATTGGCTATTCAGTGCTATATGCAAATTAACTGCCAACAAAGATGGCGGTTAATTTGCATACATAGGCTCCAAGCGGCAGAGTGAAGACTGAAGGCGAGCCGGAGCAGCGAAGACGGAGGATGGAAGGCGGCTCCGGCTGGGGCCGAGAAGACGGAGGTGTGATCACTGGGCAGCAGGAAGGGCCACTTGATGTGCGTGGTCATGCATTGAAGGAGAGACCACCCATCGTGGTTGTGTGTCTTTCTTCAGCCAAGCACAGCCGGTGCGCATTGGCTAGAGCAGGCAGGGAACTGATGGGACCAAGGTTGGAGTTTTTGCCACCTTTGTCTCCCCTGGTTCTCAGGTCTTCAGGGTTGAGCTGGAACAACACTGCCTGCTTTCCTGGGCCTCCAGGTGGCAGGTCATGGGACTCCTCAGACTCCATAATTGCATGAGCTAATCTCTCATAATAAATCTCTCTATGTGTCTACATCTGTCCGTGGTTCTGTTTCTCTGGAGAACCCTGACTAACAGGGCATGTGGGGAGGGAAGGGGTGTGGCTGTGGCTGACTTAGGAAGCGGGGAGAGGGAAATTCTGGAATTGCAAGGAGGAGCCAAGAGGAAAGCTGGCTCCTGCTGGCCTAGAGGCGAGGGTACAGCAGCCCCTGAGAGGCCCCAGGAGCAAGAGTGCCCTCAGGAGCCAGCCAGGTGTGGGTTGGGGCATGAAAGTGAAGCGAACATTCACAGAAGAGGCTGCAAATGCAGACACCTGGGGATCTGGGCGGGGCAGGAAATGGGTCCAGAAGGCTTGAGGGGCGAGGGTGCTGGGTAGTGAATGCATTTGTTCCTCATCAGGTAACAAGAAACTCACTCAGAGCCTCACAACGACTCCTGACGCCAAGGCCCAGCTCCTCTCCATGATCCAAGCTGCTCAGAGGGAAACGAATTGCTGTCCACCTTTGGTTCCAGAAAACTCTGGGTCTCCCATCACCTTTTCTTTTCAATCTAAAACCCTTTATTAGTGTTTTTAGCCCTTCTGGGCTCACCCATCTCTTCAAAATGGTGAACAAAATCTATGGATTTTTTTCCAGAAAAATGCACATATCCACAAGGCCTCGCCTGCCATTTCCAGGGGTCAGGGACTCTGAATCCCATCCAAAGCCCTCAGGGTGACTCCTGCCTGAAGGCCTCCAACATTCTTGGAGGTTGAGCTGAGGGGAGCTGGAAGTTGGGCCTGAAACAGGAAATGGTAAATGGCCCTGATGCAACCCTCATAACAGCATCCAGTTATTAAGAGCCAAGTGACCGAACCACCATTTCCCCACCTCACTGCCTTGTCGCAGTCTCCCTCGGCTGTGGCCTGGACACCCGGACACACCTGGACACCAGGACAAAGGAGGAGGCATTCGAATGGAAACGTGAGGAGCTGGCCTCCAAGCCGGGAGCCTCTGGTGAGGCATTGCCACGTGCAGCTCAGTCCCCACTCAGGGCTCCTAAACGTGCCTCCTGCTGCACCCACGAGGCACTAAGTAGGTCGCCTGGCCTGCTCAGGAGCCCTTTGCACGTGAGTCATCAATCAGCCGCTCAGCGCTGTCTGGGAAGCCTCCAGGGGCTCCCCTTTGGTGAACACA